CCCCCCCCCTCCACAAAAAATCGAAAACCGGTGTCTCAGGAACAAAATTTTGATTACGCTTCTCCGTTTATTAAGTTTCTTGCGTTGGCTTCTGCTTTGGTTCGCTTGTTTATTAGACTCTCACAGACCACGTATTATTCGAGGAAAAGTTACATGCAAATTAAGTTGTATAGGGTAGGAATCATCTGTTTTGTGTATTAAGAATACTAGTTTCTTAAAATTTTCTTTTCTTCATCGTTCGTGTGCCCAAATTAAAGCGAACACAATTTCTAAAAGAAATTATCCTAAGTTCAATCAATAGTATTTCACTTTTTTTAGCATGACTTTCTCACTGCTAACATGACCCTCAAAGTATATTTTGTGGAAATATAATAACGTCAAACCTGATGATAAGATTACCTTCGTTGTTGGATAATTAGGTTTTCCGAAAGTTCAAAGTCATAGTTTGAGTACGAGTAAAATTGTAAGCTCTATTTACCTTGAAGACCCAAAACAGCCACAAACTCGACATGATCTCTTCTGTAAAAACGGTGTTTATTTAAACGTGAATGAACCAAAGTATTCTCACAATCATAGCGAGTTAATTACTTTTTGAATTGTTAACGATTTAAGCGGAGTGTAAATTATTGCCAAGGCAATCAGCCAGGGGCAGTTCAGTTTTTCTCGGAACGCAATATAGTTAATATGTTTTTATTTTAATTTTAAACTGTACAATATCACATGGTATTTGTTGTAAAATACAAAGAAGAAGTTAGAACCTTTCTGCGGGGCGTTTGGTATATGTCAAGCGTGTTGTCTTAAAAAGCAGATAGAGATTTATTATGTAAATTTTCACCTTGCCAGCCTAAGCCGTAGGAACCTCAACGAAACAAATTGTATAGGTTGGTTTTTTCACACTTTTTCGAAGCTCGTTTGGTTTGCTCCAGGTTTCTCACCTCTTCTGCAAACACTGAGGAAAAATTAATTGATTTTGCCTAATCAAAAGTAGCCGCATCGAATATCATTATTGGCGGTACTTTTGTTTTCGATGTTTGTAAACTGGCAACGTGAATTAGCCGTGGCGCTTTGTGAATCATGAACCATCATGCTTTCTGAAAATTCCACTTCGACACTTTGGTTTCTTTGGGAACGAATATCTCGGAATAAATGTATTACATGATGTGCCAGTATAATAAATTTCATGGTGGTATATTGGTGCCAGTATATACCTCCTAACTCAAAAATTAAACTCGGGTGTCGGCGTCGTCGATGCTCGTGTGCTTTCGTACTGAGTTGCAATTATGAGTGGTCTTGTCAGTAAGTTTCGAGTTTTTATATCAATATTCCTTCTTCAGATTCTCTTTTAAAGCGTTTTACTACTAAGAATGCGAAAACAATTTTTTCTTGAGGCCGGTTGACACTTAAACTTGATGCGCTTTGAAAGTGCACGACCTGATCACATGCGAGTCGATCGTTCAAGTTGTTGTTTTGCTTAAAACTTAACGAGCTTTGTT